TGATTAACCCACAACCATTAGGAGCACAAGAGGGCAACCAAACTGGATTTGCGTGGCACCTTCCCCCCCGCCGCCTTGTGCCGTCTGTCTAGTCGAAACGGGAGGGGGAAATAACCACTCGTCCAATCCAGTTTCCCGATTCCTCGCCTCTGCCTCTAGGGAAGCCGTTCAATGGTGGGACTGCCCTCTGCTCGCACAGCACCGACGCCGAGCCCTCAACAACCCTTTCCCAGGAGGACCCCAGTGGCCCAGAACTGCTGGCTCGAGGAACAGAACCCCAAGCCAGCCCAGGGTAACGGGGGCGCCCAAGCAAGAGCCCAACAGAGTTTTATTGTCCAGCCTTGAAGCAAAAGGCACCAGAAAAAAAGGGCCCCCGGGGGGGGGGGGGGGGGGAGCTGAACGAGGAGAAAGAGGAGAACAGCCCCCCCCCCAAAAAAACGCGCTCTGTCTGCAGCTTGACAGCGGGGGGTCTTAAGGGCATGGGGTGTGGGGGGGGGCGAGGTGAAGCTGTTTGGCCTCTCCTCGCGCTCCGCGGCAAGCCCCCTCGCCCCTCCTTACCAGCCGGGCCAGAAGCGGCGGCCCCAGCGGCCCCTCCAGCTCCAGCAACGCCGGCAGACGGTTTCCTGGTGGTTAACATGGCCGCTGGAAGGGAGGGAGAGGGGAACGCATTTCAGGGCGCCTCCTGAGCGGCGCCTCCTCCGCTTCACCGGCCTGGCCTCGCCGAACGCTGGCGCCCGCCGCCGTCCTCTTGCCCGCAGCAGCAGCAGCGCCCAGCCGCGCTCCCCGCGGCGGCATCCGTCCCCCCCAAGCCCGGGCCCGCCGGGCGGCCGCAGCCCCCCGCCCCAGCCTCGTCCTCTGGCCCTCGGCTTCCTTCTCCAGCGGGAAGAGAGGCGGCGGCAGCGGCAGCAGCAGCAGCGAAAGCGCCGCCGCCGCCTCCCGGCCCAAGCGCATCACCCCGCCACTTTCCAGGATCCTGTCGAGTCCCTCGCGCCCCCGCGCTCTGCCTCCTCGTCGTCCCCCCCCCCCTTTTAACGCAGCCGCGCAAGCCTTTCCCGCTGCCTCTGGGAGCCCGCGGCACTTTCACTTTCAGAAACCCGCAAGGCTCGGCGCGCGGGTTCACAAAGGCCGAGCCAAGTTCTAGCTGCGTTCCGCCGCGGGGATAGCCCAGCAGGCTGCCGTTCTTCCCTCTTGCAGGGCTGCAGCTGACTTAGCTTGGCTGCTGAGGCGAAGTGACCATCCCCTTCCTCCCCCCTTCTCATGTGGTCTCTGGGAAAAGGGGAGGAGGGGGAGGCGTAGACATTGACGTTTCTAAGGCAATGCTCAGCTGCCCTTCCCCCACCTTCCTGGCCACAAAACGAGAGGAGAAGGAGGCTGGCAGACTCCCCCCCCCCATGCATGCCACACATAGAGACCACCCCTTAATTAGCCTCCACACTTTAACCTTCCTCCCTTTCTCCTCATGGGCCAGGCCACAAACCCATGGCCTTGTCACCTGCTGTCCTACACCCTCTACTTATGCTGCCTAGGAAACACAAGCTCCCTTCTTCCCTTTTCTCAACTGCCACCACCTTCTGAGGGGGAGCAAGTATACTGCTCTGGAGAGGATCTCCTTTGTGAGAAGAGAAAATGCCCACAGGACACAAAAGAAGGAACCCTGTGGGAAGAGAGGGGAAATCAGACAAGAAAAAAGAGGTGTGAAAAGGTGAAGGTGAGATAAGGTAACTGTCATTATCACAAAGACCTCTGGAAAGTGAATATAAAGAGAGGAAGGTGTGGGAAGAAACTGCTTTAACAGAAAGCAAAAGAAGAAAAGAAGTTTAAAAGAAGATATCTTCATTGTAAAGCAAATGTGCTTTGTATCATACAGAATGTCAGATTATACAGCAGCAGGTTGGATGCTGACGGCATTGACACATTGGGGAAGTGGTGGGAGTAAAACTTCCGAAATCTGACACATAGTATATGTCATAAATTATCCAGATTTCCCTTGTTTTTTAAAAAGCTGATAAGGTGGCAGACAAATTTCTTCTGCTGCCTTCTGTAGGAAAAGGTAGCTCCTGAAATGCTAATCTGAACATTCCTCTATTACCCACCATCATAGAATGTCATTCTCTTCTATTGACATGAGACATAACAGTATGAAGAAATCATCTTCATAGCTTTCTCTTTTTTCCACAGTCATTCAACCCATCACTGTTATCTTACTTTGTCTGTCACACACAAACATCCCATTATCCTCAAGGACCAAGGAATAGCATGGCTACCAAGAGCTCCAGGGCATACCCAAACAAAATATCATATAAAAGGACCATCAACTCCTCCATATTGTTGCCGGGTTACAAATTACAAGTTGTCGTTCTTACTTGGGCAAGAGCACTCTCTTGAAGTAAAGTTAGAGGGTGTTAACATGCAAATGATATTATCATTTCCACAAGATCCTGATAATTTCTCCACTAGGGAAATAAATGTACAGGCAGTGAATCTCTATTCTAATGACACTCAAAACGATAAGCACTGTGGGAACATGTTTTAAAACACTGATAGCACAGATGTGTGGCAGAGTGGTCAGCTGAGACACAGGATTACTGTCAATGAGAGGGTGACGAGCATGTGTAGGTTAAGTGCTTGGGTGAAAATAACAGCTGTTTTATTCTCAATCCGGATAAGTAAGAAGCTAAAATGATAAATGTAAGGGAAGCCCTTTAAGGAATGGCCAGTAGTTCAGCTGTATCTATTTTCACTGGGAGAAAAGGGGTTTTTAGCAGAGTTCAGGAAACCATTAGAACTGCTTCGGATGTTTGTGTTACCATAAAGATAAATCCAGCTGGTCAGCCATGTTAGTCTGAAGCAGTAGAACAAATTTATAGTCCAGTGGCACCTTTAAGACCAACAAAGTTTTATTCAATGTATGAGCTTTTGTGTGCAAGCACACTTTTCAAATGTGTATTCACACAAAATAATAAACCTATGTTTTCCATAGTTTGGGTTCTGTAGGGATCAAAACCATTGGGGAAGCTTGGAAACTATTTAAAACTACAATTCTAGAAGCTCAAAAAAAAAATATTCCGCAGGTTAGGAAAGGCACAAACAGGTATAGGAAAAAGCCTGCATAGTTAACAAACAAAGTAATGGAAGCTGTAAAAAGGTAAAAAGGATTCCTTTAAGCGGTGGAAAGCTAGTCACAGTGAGGCTGATAAAACAGAACACAGGCTATGGCAAATAAAATGCAAGTCCGTGGTCAGGCAGGCAAAAAGGGAATATGAGGAGCATATAGCAAAAAACGTAAAAACCAACAATAAAACTTTCTTCAAATACATTAGAAGCAGGAAACCAGCCAGGGAGGCACTGGGGCCCTTGGATGACCAAGGGGTAAAAGGAGTACTGAAGGATGATAGGGAAATGGCTGAGAAGCTAAATGCATTTTTTGCCTCTGTCTTCACTGTGGAAGATGAGAAGTGCTTGCCCACTCCAGAACCGCTGATTTCAGGAGGCTCCTAAGTAAGCTCAAAAATCAGGGGATAAAAGGACAAGTTCTTTTATGGATCAAAAACTGGCTAATTAATAGAAAACAGATAGTGAATATAAATGGGCAATTTTCTCAGTGGAGGGTGGTAAGCAGTGGGGTACCGCAGGGATCAGTACTTGGTCCACTGCTTTTTAACTTGTTCATTAATTATTTGGAGATGGGAGTAAGCAGTGAAGTGGCTAAATTTGCGGATGATACAAAGTTGTTCAGGGTGGTGAAAACCAGTGAGGATTGTGAGGCACTCCAAGGGGATCTGTCAAGGATGGGCGAGTGGGCCTCAACATGGCAAATGGGGTTCAATGTGGCCAAGTGCAAGGTGATGCACATTGGAGCCAAAAATCCTAAATATAAATACACATTGATGGGGTCTGAACTGGCAGAGACAGATCAAGAGAGAGATCTTGGAGTTGTAGTAGATAACTCACTGAAAATGTCGAGACAGTGTGTGACTGCAATAAAGAAGGCCAATGCTATGCTGGGGATTATTAGGAAGGGTATTGAAAACAGATCAGCCAATATAATAATGCCCCTATATAAATCAATGGTGAGACCTCATTTGGAATACTGTGTGCAGTTCTGGGCACCACACCTTAAAAAGGATATTATAGCTTTGGAAAAAGTGCAGAAAAGGGCAACTCGAATGATAAAAGGGTTGGAACACTTTCCCTATGAGGAAAGGTTAAAGCGCTTAGGGCTCTTTAGCTTGGAGAAAAGACGACTAAGGGGTGACATGATCGAGGTTTATAAGATTATGCATGGGAAAGAGCAGGTAAAGAAAGAGGTACTGGTTGCCAAGTGCACCTACCCTTTGCAGCAGGGGAGCCTCGCCGGGCTCCTGGAGCTCGTGAAGGACGCGCACGCATCCGCGCAGGAAGTGACGTGCTACATCGCTCACATTGGGGGTGTGGCCCAGATCATCGGGGGGGGACCATATGGGTTCCCCCCCACAATCTGGGCCATGGGGCCATGCCCCCAACGTGAGCGATGTGGCTTTGGGGGCGGAGTTCCCCCCGGGGCCCGATTCCGCTGCAGCGGAAATTTGGCCTCCAAAGTGGGGGTTTCCCCACCCCACCCCCGCCCCCACTTGGCAGCCCTAGTTGGAGGGCTTCTACTGTCCTGGCCCCACTGGTGGACCTCCTGATGGCACTGGTATTTCTGGCCACTGTGTGACACAGAGTGTTGGACTGGATGGGCCTTTGGCCTGATCCAACATTGGCGTCTCTTATGTTCTTATGTTATCCATTTTCAAAACCCTGATATTCCAGAGATTTTGATGATGCACTTTGATAAATGTAGTCTTCCTGGAAATAATCAGAATCTCAAGATTACTTCGCCTATTAAGTGTTCCATATAATCATTTGACAACTTCTACCACAAGGCCATAATTGCTTACCAGGATGATAAAACCCAGAGTTTTTCTTAGTGGGATGCTTATGGGAGCTTGTCCCCTCAGCAGAGTCAGCCAATGCTCCCTCTAAGCTGTGGAGTCTTGTGAGCAAAAATTCTACTCTGTGAATTTCTGGCATTAAAGTTGTGAGCGAGCGATTTGGCTACTGCATAAATTAGTTTGCTCTGGAGCCATCTCTTCCTGAGCTAAGATCAAAATGTGTGAGCTGGAGGCTAAAAAACTGTGAGCTAGTTCACACTAACTCAGCTTAGAGGGAACACTGGTGACAGCACTGCAATGTCCTGCTCACAGGGAAAGGGAAGGTGGTCATTCTTAGCTTTGTCTCTGGTGTCTCATTACTAAGAACAATGGTGCTGCAGTGGCATCAGCACAGTTTTTGAGAAGCATTGGAACCTTAGCAATTTCTGTTAATAATAAATTTCTGTACTAGGGGTTTCCAACGTAGTGCCCATGGGCATCATGGGCCCACAAACATCTTCCTTGTTGCTCACCAAGTGTTTTTAGAAAGTGGGTGGGGCTTCTGATTGGCCACTGAAGAGCTGATTAGCTATTACCTCTTTTCTCCCCTACACTTGGGCTTCCTTTGTGTATGTGTCTCCATCTCCTATGGCAACTATTTTGTGGTTCCTGAGGCAGCCATTTTGTGGGTTAGCCCACTGTCCTGTGTCAGAACTCCAAAGGTGCCCATAGGCTCAAAAAGGTTAGGGATCCCTGGTTTATACTCTGAGAACTTGATTTTCATAGAGAAGGAAGAAGACCTTATTTATATGACAACCATTGAATGATACCATCCAGCAACCTTTTGTAACTTACTTTTCCACGTTTCCTAAACAATGACATTCTGGAACTGCAGCAAAGAATGGAGCAGAAAGTGGATCAATCAGATAATCAGCTCAGGCCAGGCCCATAGCCATGGGGCGCATTTAGGAGGCAATGCCCCCTGTTGAATGTGCCCTGCCCCCATCCCTCACAGGAGCCTGACAGCCTGGGGGGACA